AACTGAGAATACAAGAGATTACCACAAAAAATCTAATGTAAAAAACAAGAAACATTCCATCATTTCGAGAACTCTCAATTGAAAGCCTTCTATGTCCTGATCATTTGAGTTCAGGACAACAGTAAAACACACTAATTCCAACCTCTTCTGAAAGGATGAATAAATATTTCATATGAAAAAATCATTCCCTTAAGGATATCTTCTAAAAATTGGTAATTAAGCAGGTTCTATAAATGTAATCTTTTTATCTATCGTTAAGTGCCATTGGCCTTGGGCTCCCAACCATTAGTTGGCAATTCAAACCCACCAGCCCAGTGGTTTTCAACCTGTGGGTCGAGACCCTTTTGGGGGTCAAACGACCCTTTCACAGGGGTTGCCTAAGACGACCAGAAAACACATTATTCTGATGGTCTTAGGAACCAAGACACCGCTCCTCTATTGTCTCCAAGGTGGGTCTGCCCACATGTAGATATGTTGATCTGGTGAGAAAGCTATCTCAAACTGTGCACTGTCCTTGGCTTTTTACGCACACTGTCGCAAAATATAGCAACGTAGCTTACTGTTGTTATATAAGACTGTTACCCACGCTACACCATGCCTTCAAGACAAAATCTCAATTATTTGTAATTAGAAATATTTCACAATGTATAATTTCATATTGTTTTTTTGTGATTACATCACTATGCTTTAATTATGTTCAACTTTTTAAAAACCATTTTATTAGTGGCTCATACAACTCATCACAATCCATACATACATCAATTGTGCAAAGCACATTTGTACATTCATTGCCCTCATTCTCAAAACATTTCCTCTCCACTTAAGCCCCTGGCATTAGGTCCTCAATTACGTTCAATTTCTAACAATGAAAATCCATCCTGCGGAACTATATGTGACCTCCTCCCTGGGGGATGGACAACAGAAAAGTGGGTGAAGGGAGATGTCGGACAGGGTAAGATATGACAAAATAAAATTTATAAATTATCAAGGGCTTATGAGGGAGGGGAAAAATGAGGACCTAATGCTGGGGGCTTAAGTGGAGAGGAAATGTTTTGAGAATGATGAGGGCAATGAATGTACAAATGCGTTTTACACAATTGATGTATGTATGGATTGTTATGAATTGTATGAGCCCCTAATAAAATGATTAAAAAAAAAGAAAATCCAACCTACATATCAGATATTTACATTATGATTCATAAAAGTAGCAAAATTCCAGTTATGAAGTAGCAACGAAAATAATGTGTAGGTTGAGGGTCACCACAACACAAGGAACCGTATTAAAGGGTCGAGGCATGAGGAAGGTTGAGAACCACTGCACCAGCCTCTCTGAGAAAGAGGAGGTTGTCAGTGTCCATAAACATCTATAATTTGTGCAATGCTGTGTGAGTCTGAATCAACGTGCTGAAATCCCCCCAACTCTTCTTGAGAAAATCTAATTTTCACAAATGCCTGTATGTATACCTGGACTTAGCACAGTATACATAATAAAACTGTTTTCACCACTCCCCCAACTTTCCCTCCCTTAAGAGTAATACTGCTTCTGTAGGGAATACACAAACGCGCAGCAGCGATATATGGTGGATTTGTAACTCTGGAACATCCAACATTAAAGGATTGTAGCAAAAATACAAAGGCCTGTCAAGTAATTTTGACATCTAGGACGAACGTTCAGTGCCCACACTGCTTTCCAAAGCTTTAACTTGAGAGGGGACTTCCACATGCCATACACACTTTTTATGAGTTGAGTTAAAATTGGCACACAATTCCTTCTTCCATTTTTAAGAGTCCTACCTCCTTTCTCACTGTCGTAGTGTGAGGCATCAAACTGAGCATCATCATTAGGGAGCTGCACACTGGCTATCACAAGGTGGTTTTGCTCGTCCGATGTATGTGTGCCCAAGACAAGTCGATGAATGCTGAAATCTTTCCCTTCTGGTCTGTAAGAGCAATTCAGGATCATCACTCACATTAACATCAATGGAGAGCACAATGCCAGCGATATAGACATGGACATCAAGGGCACTGTTTATGATGAGAAAGTCGCGAAGAACCCGATCTTCAACTTGTAATTTATCCCCTCCATTGGGCTGCATACATGAAGAAATACACAAGTACATATTTTTAAACATACAACATATATGCTTTATTGAACAGCCACAGCTTATCCCAGTTGATCAAGTGGTTGACCAGCTATCCAGGGCCCAGCATAGCCTCTGGGCTTGTCGCTCGACCTCCAACAAGGTGAGCATGTGCCCTTGTACCAGGCCTTTTACATTCCAGATGATGGAGTGGCTCTTGTGGCACCGAGGCAATGGTTGGGCAGAGAACTATACTTTATTTTGTAAATATTTAACTTGGGAAACTTAAAAAAAAACAACAAAAACACCAAAAACCCCCAAATTATGGATTTAAAAATCATTTTCCTCCCCTAGGGGCAATACCCCAAGTGGCCAATATTTGGATACAATTTAGCACATCAATCTGGAATCTCCATTCAGCTACTTCTCAAAGGCCCTGAATGACCATCAGATTATAAACAGCCTGGACGACTCTTGAGAACTCACAGAAACAACTGCACTTATTCCTGAACTCCCCAGGTAATTCTGATGATGAGCTGAAAGGGAGACCTGTGGTCATGAATAAAGAAGGCTTTAATTAAGTTTCTAGTGTTTACCAGGACTTTGTGTTACATTTTTCTTTATATCCTGTGAAGGTAACTCTCTTATCAATCTTATTCTTAATACAGCAACTATGTTAAACATCTGTACTACTGGGATGAACTGCAAATCAATTGATTTCTAGAGACCTGAGTTTCTCAAGTAATTCTGTTACCAGGCACTTAATCTTGACTGCTATTCTGAAATTTAAAGCAGTTTTCGAACAAATGCGAAAGAAGCCATGATGAAACAGTGACGTTGTAACTTCTTTAAATGCTTCTCTAGAGGTACTTCCCAGGAAGACCACGATTCCAACAGGCAGGTTGTGCTGAAACTTTAAGTGTTTATTTTTTAAGTTCACTTTCATCTTTGGATTGCCATTTCCTCCTAGAAACCTTCCTTGATGCCACACGTAAGGGCAATTTCCCCTTTCTCTCATTATTTTATCTGTTATTCTACACAGGAATCAAGCCGGGAAAGGCCTCTTATCTAAACTTGTGGAAGGCTCCCCCTTTATCAGGTGTAAACCAGACCCCCCATATATGAAAATTAAAAATAAAATAAAATCTATATTAGTTGAGATCCCTGGGTGTTTGATCTCAGCAACTGAAAGGTAGGCAGTTCAAACCCACCCAGGAGCCCTGGGGAACCTGACCCCTGAGAAAGAGCACTTACGGAGCACTCCTTTTTATTTTTACATGCTTGAGTTGGAGTTAGTTGACCCTCTGGCAGTGGGTAAGTTTCTATCACACATAACATGGAGAGGGTGTGTGTGTTTCAAAGCAGTCAGGAGACAAGTTGATTATTTTTAAAACCCCACAACCTTTTGAAGGCCCCCTCACTGGACTTTAGGCAAACCTCTTTGGACCAAATACCAGGCCTTCTGTTTTTTTCTATAAACCAGTTAAATACCAGCAACTAACTGTGTGAGCTCCGATACGTTTCCTTGAACAAATTGGGGTCATCACAATGTTGACGAATTCTGAAAAGCTGACGAATCTCTAGTCTTAATCGGGCAACTATAGGTGTAATATGGCTCTTTATAAGATTAATTATCAGAGAAAGGCACCCCCCACGAGTTTTCTCAGATGCATCACTACCTATTGGCCCTAGAGGACAGTGTCAACAGTTTTATCCTTGTCTTCTCCAGGAGAATGGGGAGAGGAAAACAGGGTTCGGACAACAATCGGAAAAACGGAAGGCATAATAAAAGTGTACGTATTCAGAGGTTCACATCACCTGGTCACATCTGGAAGCCACTGTGCAGTTAGGCTGGGCCACTCCAGAGCATGGGTCATCACCAAATCGTAAAGAAAAGGGGTGTTCTTCTTCCATATCTTGTACTCCTCGTTGATCACGCGTTCTTCCACGGCGTCATCAAAGGCTGCTAAAAGAGCGAGAACGAAGACGTTAGGCATAAAAGGCTCACCGAGCACGCACGGTCCTGCCAGCATGGCTCCCGAGTCCGGATTCTGAAATGGAGGGACGTGGGTCTGCTCCGAGGCGGAGGCCCTCAGCCTTCTCCACCTCGCGGGCTGGCGCCGGAACTCCTCTCGGGCGAGGGCAGGCCGGGGCTCCGTTACCGTTCGCTGCCCGGGCCTTCGGGGCACACTCTCCTGAGGAGCGGGTGATCCGGGGCCGACGGGGAGGCCCCGACACCGGCCCCTGGGGACAGGGAGGGGTGCAGGGAAACCCGGGAAAACGGCGGGTGCGCGGCCAGGGAACGCGGGGAGGCTGCCAGCGGGACCCAACGTCCCGCTGCGCGCCGCTAGCCCGCCCGCCCCGCGGGGAGCCTTCCCCTCCTGCCTTCGGCGCTGGGAACCGCGCTCCGCAAAGTCGGGCCTGCCCTCGCTGTTAGGCCGAGTCGAGGCCGCAGCGGAGCCGAGGCTTCCCTGGGACCTCCGGAGTCGGCCACAGCACCCTCACCTTCCTTGTCGGCCATGGCGGGCAGTCGGACTGGAGCGCCGGGCAGGAGCTGCGAGGAGAGCGTTGCGGGAGGGGCGGGGAGGCTGCGGGCGCTCGCTCCGCGCGCGCGGCCTCTATTGTTTCCTGCTGCTCCTGCTGGAGGATGGACTCGCGCGCCTCCGCGCAAACGTCGGCCAATCAGAGCGCAGTGAAAGGATGGGTGGGCGGGGAAGCCGCGCTCGTAGCCTATCCTGAGGCGCGGAGTTGCTTTTTCGCGGGTCCGTGGCGCGCGCTTCGGCCCCTCCCCCACACGGCCGAGTAGCCTGCCTTCGTTTGCGCGCGCGCGGGGGCTGTCGAAGTGCGCACGCCCCGGGTCACGTGAGCGGTGTGGTTGGAGGGGCGCAGTTCGCCCGCACTCTTCTGGGGGCAGCCATTTTCTTACTGGCTGTTAAAGTCATGATTTTTTTCCAAAGTGCTCAAATTAATTTAGTGTTGTCATTTAGTTATCAGTTTCGGAAGCGATGGAGAGGAGAAATCTTTATCATTCAGGGCTAGAAATGTCTGATCCAGGCGTCCTGTACTCCTAGGTCCTTCAACTCGTTTCTAAGAAAGAACTATTGAAGCAAGTTCAGAAGATGAGTCCTTGGCCCTTGAAAGGTTTACTCCAGGTGGCGCAACCTAGACGGGAGTCCGAGGAACTAAACGACGTCGGCTACTCCGAAATTGGAGTGCTGGCCCTTTAAAGTGGCGCGTCTGGGCGTCGATAGCGGAAGTCCGGCTCGGGAAGGGCGGAAGTGGAGTGCTAATCCCGGCGGTCATGGCGCAAGAGAGTGAAGACGAGAGAGACTACAATTTGACTGAGAAGCAGAAGGCGGTCAAGGCCAAATATCCTCCACTTAATCGGAAGTATGAGTGTGAGTAGGTGGCTTTCCTCTCCAGACCTGGGCACAGGCACGTCCCCTTCTCCTTGGCCGCGGCTTCCGGCCTCGCCTCTCACCCTGCCCCAAAAGGTGTTGTAGGCGGATCCCCTTCGGTCCTTGTTTTCACACTCTCCCCACACCGAAGGCAAGTTTCACCTGGTCCTAGAGTTGGGAAACCTGGCCTCCCACAGTTGCAGTCTCTTGAACTTCTTTCATCTACGGCTAACCATTTCTCTTGTGATATGCTAATTCTAAAAATAGCCGCATTTTCAAGGATTTGCGCGGCAGCCACCCTAGGTGTGTACCTCAACGGTGGAGTCATTAGCTGTGTGACGGGAGAGGACTCGGAAAGTCAAATAGGGTTCCGATGTGTTTTACATAGGTTATGTTGGTAGTCAAAAGAACTGACTCTGCCCGTGGATTAGTCAGGTAAACTGCCTTGGCTTCTCGATTCTTTCTTTGGAGGATTCCACTCGGTTCTGCAGGGTCACTGTGCGTCAGAACCACTCCGTGGCAGTGAGTTAGGCTATATCATCGCTAACGTGGATGTAGTTTGGGGAACGACCCTCGGGCTTATTTGCCTGTTTTAAATCCTCCACTGATTTTCCACCACATAAAATCCACTTGCCCGTAGTCTCGTGGGTTTTTGTTCTTTCTGGACCCTGTGTATCTCTTTCAAACTGAAAAAGTTTAAAAATTACTTTTAATATGTACTAAAGTGCTGGACACAGATGACGTATGTACAGATTGTGATGAGTTGTACCAGCCCCTAATAAAATGATTATTTAAAAATTACTTTTAATATAAGGTGATATATATGATTCAAAAGGATATAATAGGTATGCAGTGAAAAGCAAACGTTCATTCCTGATCCCCATTCACTTACTTAATCCATCTCTCTAGAGCCAGTGGCATTACCATTTCCTTCTGTTTACGTACAAAGATGTTCTACCATTTAAACTCATTTCCAGCTGATGAATAGTTACGATGTTTACGTTCTTTTGCTATTGCAAAGCAGTGCTGTAGTGAATATATTTGTATATGTATTGTTTTGTGCATGTAGTAGTACTCTTATATGTGTAGAATTAATTTCTGGATGTCATCAGTGAATTGCTTTGTCAAAGTATATATGCATTTTTTACATTGACTGTTACTGTCAATTTGCCTTCCAGAGAGATTGTATTAATTTATGCCCTCACAGGCAGTGTAGGAGTGTGTATCTCTCTCTTTACACTTATTAGAAAACAACAGCAACCATTTTTCCTGCTTTGGGTGAAAGTTTACATAGTTAATTCATTTTCCTAATTAATAGTTCATACTGAACATTATTCCATGACATTCGTTGCAGACCCTGCAATGTGTCAACACTTTGCTAATTACATTCATCTGGCTGCCCTGCCTCCCTCCGTCTTCTCATCTTTGGTTTTCGGCAAATGTTGCCCTTTTGGTCTCACATAGTTGATTGTTCTGAGGAGCACATTTGTCACATGGCTAGAAGGTTTTCTTTTTTTTTTTTATTATTTATTTTTAAATCGTTTTATTGGGGGCTCATACAACTCTTATCACAACCCATACACACATCAATTGTGTAAATCGCATTTGTACATTCATTGCCCCGCTAGAAGGTTTTCTTAGGGCATTCGTCTTGGAACCTCTAGAATATTTTCTCACTAAATCTGGTCTGTTTTTCTTTTTTTCACTTTGACTTTTGTTCTTTTTTAAAAAAAAAACAAGTAATTGCGGCTTTATTTTGTGATCTTGGGTCAGAGTGTTTGGTAGTGGTAGTGGGGCACCATCTAGTTCTTCTGTTCTCAGTTTAGAGGAAGATGTGGCTTCTGTGGACCATTAGCCCTTTGGACTAATGGCTTCTTGCTTTAAAAATGGTTTTATTTATTCTGTGTGCCACTGAGGGATAAATATCAATCGTTGCTTCTGGAATGGCCTCTCTAAAGCTTTTAAGATCCCTCACCAGACTACAATATAGAACATTATCTTTAGGAAGTGTGTTTTTGTCAATTGACTTAGCCCGCAGACTTTGACCCTTAGCCTTCAGATTCAGTTATTCAGTCCTGTTATCTAAGAAGTTTCTTTAAGTGTGTCTCTTACAAGTGTGTCTCTTACGTGGTTGTTGTTGTTAGGTGTTGAGTGGGTTCGAGCTCAGAGACCCTACGTAGAATGAAACTTAACGCTGCCTATTTCTGCTCTGTTCTCATAGTCGGTGTGGTGCTTGAGCCCACTGTTAGAGCTACTGTGTCAGTCATCTTGTTGAGGGTCTTCATTTCTGCTGATCCCCTACCAAGTGCGATGTCCTTTTCTAGGGATTGGCCTCTCCTGATAACACGTCCAAAGTAAGGGAGATAGAAACTTCTCATCCTCTGAGGAGCATTCTGGTTGCACTACTTCGAAGACAGGTTTGTTTGTTCTAGAAATCTATGTTACTTTCAATATTCTTCACCAATAGCATAGTTCAAATGCATTGATTCTTGTCTTCCAGAGAAGTTGTGCTATGGATTAATAATAGTCTGAAAATGTTGAGATAACAGATCCAATGGGAACATGTTATAGGAGAATGGGAGTATCCCCATGAATATGCACAAAGGACATAAAAAATCATGGGTTAATTCCATTATCTTTTAATTCAATTTTCCACAAACTTGTAAAAACCTCTATACAGGCTTCTCAGGATATTTAACAATATGTATTTACCTACGCTGCCCTCTGCTTTACCAAGCGTGATGTCCTTTTCCAGGGACTGGTTTCCCCTAATAATATGCTCATCTACATCCTTGCCTTTAATCAGTCTAGCTGTACTTCTTCCAAGACACAGATTTAGAGAAATCCGTAAGATAAACAGTAACGCTAGGGAGGTACACTCACATTCCTTAGAATGATCAACCACGTGAGAGACAAAGTTCAGAAGGCTGGAAGGGTTAGGAAACATCACACAAGGAGGAAATTGAAGATGTGATGTTATCTTGTGGGGATTGCAACAGGGACATGAAACATGAATGGTTGAATGGGAAATTCATGCTCTGTAAACAAACATTCACCCAATTGACAATAGAAAGTTTAAAAAGAGCTTTAACAAAGCAACTAACTTTGCCGGGTAAACGAATAGCAAAAGGTGTCGAGTGCCCACATTTTCTAGTTCTGTAAGGATGATTGATGTTTTTAAACTAATGAACTAAAATTATTATGCTTCTAATTGGGTAAAGTATGTAAGACAAAGCACTACCCATTTCACGGGTAGACTTCAGTGACATGAATTATGTTCTTCGTGTTGTAGTTGTTTTCTTGTGATTTGTTTGTAAGCCCAGTTTAGAATTTCACTAGTGGTTTCCCCTTTCTTTTAGATTTGGACCACACAGCTGATGTTCAGTGAGTACAGCCGGAGCTTGTGCATTCAGAGCCATTTGCTAAGAATGAAGGCTGAATGGTTTCTTTTCTTTTTAATTATTTTATTGGGTGCTCTTACAATCCATACATTTGTTGTATCAAACATTTTTGTACTTATGTTGCCGTCATTCTTTTCTAGACATTTACTGTATATTGAGCCCTTGGTATCAGCTTCCCCCCTCCCCCATGACCCCTTGATAAAGGATAAATTATTATTATTTTCACATCTTACACTGACCGCTGTCTCTCTTCCCCCATGGTTTCTGTTGTTCATCCCCCTGCAAGAGGAGGGAGTGTGGCTGTGTGTTGATTATTGTAATCAGTTCCCTCTTCCCCCCATCCCCTGAATGGTTTCTTGTTGATGTTGGTAACATTTTTTCCCCTCCTATCTTGGCTCTTTGAGGAGATGAGTATGGTAACACTCCAATTCGGCGCCATTGAGTTGACTGAGGCCTTTGATTTTTCTGTCCTCAGACTGATGTTATTTTGGTTTTTCTGTCAAGTCTTCCATCTTCTAGTGCAGTGGTTCTCAACCTTCCTAATGCCGTGGGCCTTTAATACAGTTCCTCATGTTAGTGACCCCCAACCATACAATTATTTTCATTGCTACTTCGTAGCTGTCATTTTGCTACTGTTATGAATCATCATGTAAATATCTGATATGCAGAATGTATTTTCATTGTTATAAATTGAATGTAATTAAACATAATTAAAGCATAGTGATTAATCACAAAACAATATGTACTTGTATATTGTGAAATATTTATGTTTTCGGATGGTCTTAGGCAGCCCTGTGAAAGGGTCATTCACCCCCAAAGGGGTCGCAACCTGCAGGTTGAGAACCGCCGTTCTAGTGGATTACAGAGTGTACCAAATGTGTTCCTCTAGGCTACATGCATGGGGGTCTACTCTGGAGGAAGCGTTTGAGCAGTGTGCAATGGCCATGTTTGGTTACATGACAGATACCGGGACTGTTGAGCCTCTCCACACAGTGGAAGTTGAAACTCAAGGTAAGTGAGTGATTCACAAGGAGGAAATGCTATCAAAATAGGCAGTGTTCTAAATAACTGGAGTATACACTTTTTACAGTAAGCACAAAGCTGATCAGGTACCTGTTTTTCGCTTCTTAGTTAGCCTAAGGAATTTATTGCTCTTATAAATTCCAACCGGTTTTCGGAGACCAGAGGTACTAAATGCACGGTTTTGGTTCTTTTTGATCCTGTGTAGGGGATGACTTGCAGTCTCTTCTGTTTCACTTTTTGGATGAGTGGCTTTATAAGTTCAGTGCTGATGAGTTCTTCATACCCCGGGTAAGCACGAGTTTTTCTTTCTTAGCAAGCAAATGAGTTCTTAGTTCAGGTTGTGGGGTTGTTTGTTTTTTACCCCCGTAGTTCAGGTTTTAAACTAGAACAAGTGGTTTAAATTAGAATGCAGGTTGCCAGACTCTACAAATTTTTAAGATGATACTTTATATAAATTATAATGACAATAAAGAAGTTCTTGGTTAATCTTGAGTTTGCCTTGCCTACAATCCATTTTGTATTTAGTATTGTTGTAGGTTCAAATAAATGACAGCCACTATAATGTCTTGATAATTTAGAAGAGTCTTTATTCAGTTATAACCGGACTGCTAGAATCTAAAAGAGATTCTTTGATTGCAGTCCCGAGTGGACATTTCAGTCCATCTTTAAAGGCAAAAACTCATTTATAATTTGTATAGGACTTAAGCAAGTATAGACAGAAGCAGAAAGCAAAACTAATTTTACTATTCTTTCGAGCTAGTGAAAGTTACAGGGTGTAGTATTAAGTTAAATTTGGGGGGGAGTGGGGAGGGGCCAGCCCCACCCGCTAGTACTACCTACAGGTTCAGTAAGCACAATTGTACGGTTGAGACATGCAAGCATTATATTAAAGTCATCGAGAGCATGAGAGATATTACAGTAATACAGTCAGACACGTTACATGGTAGCATTGCTCACCTCAGCCCCACTTGGTGGTCCTCGTTGGGGGAACCCGGCTACGAGAGCAGGAGCAGCCTCGGGGACCAAGAATCGGGGAGCCTCTCCTGGCCCGAGAGCCAGAGAAGGCCTCGGGAATCGGGGAGAGCCTCTCGGGCTCCGGAGCTCAATCCCTTCTTTATTGCTAACCCCGCCTTATATCACCTTAGGGGGACATCATTATAGAATCACACGTCACAGAGAGGGGCAGTACAATTCATCCTTGGGCGGGTTTGATCTCTCTG